ATATTTTATATCTTCAATCTGACTAGTAATACCTTGTAAACTTGTGGAGTCAGAACTGCACTCTGAAGCAGTAACTCTCTTCTGTGACACTCTATTCAACAATGGCTTACCAGTTGCAACTACAGACTTCTTGATCACACAGTTACCGTCACACAATTCGGAGTCAGGCCTTGATTTCACATTTAGCTTATCACTAAACTTGTTCACTGATTCACAGTTCATCTTTGTATGCACTTCTTGCAAACGTGTAAAACACAACCGTGTTTGTCTTGCATCTTGTAACTTATCTGTGTAGGATGTACTACGAAACCTGTTACACTCACTAAGTCTATATGCATTACTAGACACCATAGAGCCTTCTCGATGTCCACCTCTCTGAGACCCTTTCATCATCAATGCTTGCGTTTTACCCTCAGACTGCTCTATTCTAGGGGTGGGATGCAATACACTGGCAAACTTGCTCATAGATTGATTGACACTATCTTTTACTAGTTTCAGAATATCATCGAACTTTGGCTCGATACCCTCATCCTCCATACGGGAGCTTATCTTCACCCACTTCCTTTGCAGTCGAGTAGTTAGGCGTCTCGCTATTACTTCTAGTATAAAACTCGAGTTGAGGTCACTCATGCGATTCATCGAAATCATTGCTTTCTTGTAAATTAGCAAATTATCCAAAAACTCAGAGAGTGCCTGGGAGTCATCCTGTAATTAACTACCATTACCTTTAACAGTCTCGAATAATTTCTTTGCAATCATCGAAGGTCTTCAAAACCTTTGACGTAATATGCTCATAGCCTCGTAGTAGCCCTCTTTTGCCTTCATAAACTCACAGCACTGTATAGCTCTTGAAGCATCTCCAGTGCAATATCTCATCAAATACATTAACGTCAATTCATCATTTAATAAAAAACCACTCAACATGATCTCAAACTCCTTTACAAATTGTAAATAATCAGCCGGGTTTCCATCAAAACACCATGGTTCAAATTTAGGGAGTTTGATGTTCCTATTATCCCTGAACGGCGAAACAGTAACATCAACCATGTCATGCTTAACATCAGACACATCGTTACAATTAACAGACAAGTCACCGTGGCTTACTTTCCTGTTTGCATCCAAGACACTCTGTCCCTTCTTTGCCCCAGGCATTGTTGAACTTGACCCAATTCCAAAAAGCTTCCAGATATTACTTGTTCAAAGAGGACTTGACCGGCAACAGGAAAGATGAACGGCGACTATCCAAACTTTCACCAACTGTCTCAATCCGCCAGATCTGTTTCCATCGTCAGAAACTGTCATTCACGTCTCATAAACCGTTAATGCCCAGCTCTTGCTACGCTCGGGCTCACGCTGTCGCTTGAAGTTTCTCAGAAACGCTTAGTAATAACGGACGAAAATACCAAAACACCAATTGTTGACTCGAGGATTCTTTAGTGTTACACCAACATATAAAAAATATTTCTACTAAGGTCTGTGAACAAATATTACAATAATAAATCATTGTATTACTTCTGATGGTTTATTGCTGACTTCTTTCTGAACAGCGACCGATGAGACGATGACTGTCGCATTGATGCCTCCGCGAAAATTGGGGAAGTTGATTTTGAGCAAACAATTATGAATTGATCGTTCAATCTTCAACCAGATTGACAACCAACTTCGCTATATTTTCGCGGAGGCGTCTATTCACCAGCCATCATCTCAACGGTCGGTATTCAGAAGGCACGTACAAAACCGTCAGAAGTAAAATCGTGATTTATTGTTGTAATATTTGTTCATAGACCTTAGTTATTATGCTGCTCATGTGTTGGTGTTAGAATAAAGAATTCTCGAGTCGCCAATCGGTGTTTTGGTTTTTGCGTCCGTTCGTACTAAGCGTTTCTGAGAAGCTTCGAGGAACAGCGAGAGGCTCGGACGTAGCAAGATCCGTGCACTGACGGTTTTTGCGACGTTATTGCTAGTGGGTATATCTGCATACGAGTAGACAAATCAAGTATTCGGAAAGGTGGGCGGTTGCTCTCTACATCCGGAATGTCGTAGGGATCAGGTCAACGTTGTCAGAAGCCCATGACAGCAGCACCAGTGAAGCCACAGGTTGCGCCATTAACGTGAACAAAGGCACTTTAACGATCGGAGTTTTTTACAGAAGTCCTGCTAGCCAAGCTGATGACATCGTTCTAAGTCACTTGAGGGCGTGGGGTAGTAGAAATAGATGTCTGATTGGTGGCGACTTTAGTGCTTCACATATCAATTGGGGGGAATTAAACTCCATTAGTTTGTATACCTGTTTCAATAGGGAGCTCACATTGACAGTGCTTGAATGTGCACTCGTGCAACATACGCATGCACCAACACGGTATCACCATGAACATTATCCATCTATGCTAGACTTGGTATTAACACACCAGAAGTTGGACGTTGGTAACATTAGGTGCCTTCCGCAGCTTGGCAGCAGTGACCACATAGTCACTGCTTTTACGTTTAAGATTCATTCTCCCATGCAGAGGTCAAAATCGGCTCGTCCAAACATTTGGAAAGCGGATATACAGGGAATCCGGAACGCAGCAACTGCGGTTGACTGGTCAGTTGATACAAGTCGGAGTGTCAAGGAAGCTTGGGTAGGATTTATGAATACACTAGATTGTGTCACTTCACCTTTTACACCTTGGTACACTCCTCGAAACTGTCGCATGAGCCACCTTGGATCACTGGTGAAATAAGCAGGCTATTAAGACGGCGAAAGAACTTATGGGACCAATTTATTATGACAGGAAGGGAAAACTTCCAGAAAGACTACCGCCAAATTCGAAACCTCTGTAAGTATGCGATTAACAAGCGTCGTATAGAGTACGAGAGACGGCTAGTACTAAATTGTGTTCATTACCCGAAAAGGCTTTACTCGTATATTAAACGTAGGACTAAAACTAGCGGTGGTATACCGTCACTCATAACCATTAGTGGAGAAGCGGCTGAGTCAGATGAAGGAAAGGCTGTGACGTCTTCTCGTCGGATAATACCACTCAGGGATATGGCGAGGTCACTGCCATCACCACTCAGATGCCCTCAATTGTGGTAGAGCACACAAAGGTCCTCAAACTACTGTCTAAAATGAAGCCAGGTAAATCACCTGGGCCGGTGGACTTCAACTTAAGCTGATAAATTCTTTGGCGGATATAATATATATTCCGCTTACGGAGATTTTCCAAATGTCTCTGACGCAGGCTAAGCTACCCAGGGACTGGAAGGATGCCATTATAAGCCCTATCTTCAAAGACGGAGATAGGCAGGTAAGTCTGACATGCATTATTGCAAAGGTATTGGAAACTATTATAAGGGATCAACTATTAGCTTATGTTGAAACACATGGCTTGTTGGCTGTGGAACAGCATGTATTCTGACCAGTACGATCCTGCTTGGCAAACCTACTATTGGTTAGGGAAGACTGGGTTGAGGCCAGAGATAGAAACCATCTGTTGGACGTGGTTTTTATTGATCTTAGAAAGGCATTCGACTAAGTATCCCACTTAGGTCTCCTTAGTAAACTTAAAGGTTTCGGACTGGACCATTGCCTATGTAAGTGGTTTAGAGATTACCTAATGGATAGAAGGCAGAAGGTTAGAGCTAACGGTGTACCATCAGGATGGAAAGCAGTATGCGGTGGAGTGCCCCAGGAAACTGTATTAGGCCCCTTGCTATTCCTATTATATGTTAACGAATTACCAGGGATTCTTACTTCATCTTCATTATTATTTGCAGATGACATTATGATATGGAAAACTGTAAATAACAACGAGGATAGGTCGGCCCTACAAACTGATCTAAATAAATTAGCTGAGTAGTCAAGCTTATGGAGTTTGGAAATGAATGCTAGGAAAAGCGCGGTAATGCACTTAGGTCAGAAGTCTTATATTTGGTACTCCCTAGGGGACGCAAAACTACTTGATGTTGACGGACAGAAGGACCTAGGAATCATTGTCAGCAGTGATTTGAAAACAACTGCAAATTGCAATGCAGCCGCAGCTAAAGCTTTTCGAATGCTATGGGCAATTAGAAGGGCTTTCAAACGAGGGGATGTTCCAAATGCTCTACGCAACATATGTCAGGCCTCATCTAGAATACTGCATACAAGCGGCGAGTCCATGCTTCAAAAAGGAGACACGTATTCTGGAAAGAGTACAGAGAGTAGGAACCAAATTAGTTAGTGGTATCTCACACCTTCCTTATGATAAGAGGATGGAGCATTTAAATCTCTTCCCGTTATTATACCGAAGGAAGAGAGGCGACTTAATTTTAGCATAGCGTATACTTAAGGGTGATTTAGGAACTGACCTTTCTAACCTTCTCTCTCCTTCTAGGATACATTTACGGGGTCACCGAAAAAAGGTGCTCAAACCGAGGACGATTAAAATAGGTGCAGAATTTAGATTCGCTCACAGAGTGGTCAACGATTGGAACTCCTTACCTGATTCAGTAGTATCAGCTGCATCGGTGAACGCTTCCAAAGAGAAGTTAGATCTCTGCAGAGATATATTTTGTAAGGATTAACACAGACCACAAGAGCCTTCTATTCTTATCATCTGAATCTGGCATCCAATCACCACCCGGAAGGCTGCAGTCCGGTAGACTACAGTTATTGGTGAGACACATGTGAGTATAAGTTGTTTAAATTACACAGACAAATATGTATATGCATGAACACAGAATGGGATGAAAACCACACATATAGTTACAAAACTGAACAAAAAACGATCCTTGGAACAATCAAATCAGTTAAGGCAAAGCAAAAGCTTCTGATGAGATTTACACAACAAAGGTAGAAGTTGCTTCTCAGCTTAAAAAATATCACCCTTCTTTTTCCAACCTTACACTTTAAAAACAGCTCGTATGGGGTCAGTACAGAAAAATTATGTCCAGGCAACCAGTCAGTGTCTTAAAGGCAAATCACTCATTCTAGAAAGGGTTCAGAAGAATACAACACGTGTGATTTATTGGTTTCGATTCAATGCAGAATCCGCGTGTTACGATAGCAACGTTACATACCAAAATCTGTTTCGTAGGCGTGTTTTCTGTTTCATGGTTTTCTTTGTTTCCTAATTGGTTCTTCACGTTTTTTGCGCCTAATGTTGTAGTAGGTTTTTGATCCGGAAACTATTTATCCCTGCAAACATGTCGAAAGGATTGAAGTTAAAGTAACATAGCCGGAGTTAAGGTCTTCCCTGGAAGGTTTTTGCATGCAAACGACAGTGAAGAATAAACACCAAAATGAAATCAACTGAACACGGCTAGGCAGTACACATGGATGTTTTTAATAATCTTCGTTGCAAGTTTCACTTTGATGTTTTAACGTCTATAATACAACTACTAGTCTTCCTGGGCACTACTATTCATACACTTGAGTGAAAGGGTTATTGTCAGCTATAATAACTAGACTATATTCATCATGATTATGATTCTTTTTAAAGTCAATCACATTTCTGAATTAATAGATCCTATGATTGGAACTCATACAAATTCTACTGGAGGATTCTGGGTGCATCTAAAAAAGGTATTATAATAGTAAATGGTTCCCGATATGATGTGATGTGATACACAACCATTTGGATTTTTTGTGTCAACATTGGTTTTATATGTCTACAGATACTCCAGTGAGAAACAGGGAGCAGCTTTTATATCATCTTAGAGACAAATACCCTGTATAATTTAGTTTTATTACGTTTATGCCTTACTCTCTCAGTTCATCTGTACTCCGTGTGGAGATAGTTTGAAACATATCAAGGTCGTTATCTACCAGTTATTTATCCTTTTTGCGTATGATAAGAGGTTTTATTTATTTTTTCTCTGAAAAAACATCAAGTTCTTATTCTAATATGATGCCACTCTTCCTGAGCATGCTTTACTGTATGAACTGTCTTTATTATTAGCAACTGACTACCTGTCTGAATGAAATGATTTAGATGAGGCCTTAAGTATTTGGGTTGTAGTGAATAAAAGGGCCACGATTTATCTCACAGACAAACAAAAACTGGATTTCACCTCATGTGTGTTTCACTAGTATTACCTGTCAAAACATGTGTGAGATTATTATTCTTTCTAATATTTATCAAAACATAAAATTGATATACCATAAGCAACAATAGGTGCACTACACAAAACCTTACAGTGTATGCGAGAGCTGGGATTTCGGAAGGTCCATAGTGCAGTAGGGCGACGTCAGGAACTCTTATGTTCGCATGGTTTCTGGTGACCAGGGACAGGTTCATACACGCCATTCGATCGGTTCAGACTTCGTAGCCTCCGTATACCGTAAGTATGAGATCAAGAATTTCTTAATCCCCTAGGTAGATCTGTATGTCCATCTGTTCTGGTGTTTACGCTAGATGTTCTCACTCGCCTTTTTTATTTTTGCGAGGAAAACTTCCACTGTGTGAAGACAGCAAATAGAAAAACTCACTTGGGAGTGTCAATAAATGCATGGCGACATATGAGCATTTCGAGAGGAAGATCGAAGTCTATCCAGCCTCGTCCGTACCAGGTGATTTATGGGGAGAGACTGTAAGAGACAGCTGGTATTTTCTAGATAACGTCTTCGTCATCAGGTCCTACAGTTATATGTCCATGATAATTAGTTCTTTTGGTTTGACTTCACCTTGCGTGGCTAAATAAAGGTTCGATATAAAAACCATCATCGTTAGTTCGATATCAGGTCTTTTTCTTTCATCTATCTTGTGTCCGAATAGATTGCAAAAAGCCTGTAGTTACCAAATACTCTGCCAAACTGCGAAGGCCATTGCAACTTTCGCCTAAAACAACCGGAGCTTTGTGTACAAAAGAAATGGGCCCAGACTCTTTTGCTATCTTCGGTTGCTGTGAAACCTATATAAATTGACAAATCCCATATTATTTCTTCCTAATTTTATCTGGTATTGAGTTCAGTATTACATTGATGCATATTATCACTTACAGCTGCTTCTTTGAACTGTAATCTGTTGACCTAAGAGATTGGATATTGTTTGGAAAAAAAAACAATTGCTAATACCAATAATTTGAATTAATGTGGCTATATAACTGTAGAAATTGAAGAGAAGTTATCAAAAAGAATACTTTATTTACTAATCTCAGGGATTTTAGGAGTTTTTAATTGACATCTTTAACCAACTTATGTGTCAGATTCATCAAGGTGAATTCTACTTCCTACTGGAAAGGCAGCAGGCCCAGACGGAATTCCCCCCGAAGCACTGAAAACGGACCCAGAGACTGCGATAGGTGCGCTTTCGTCAGTATTGCAAACAGTTTAGAAGCAAGGATAGGTACCTACCGACCGGAAGAAAGGCTACATTGTTAAGCTGCCAAAGAAGGGCGACTTACACCTTACTCTGCAGGAACTGGCGTGGAGTCATGCTCTTGTCAACGCCAAGTAAAATACTAAGTCGTATCATCCTGCAGAGAATAAAGGATGCACTGGATACAGAACTCCACTCCCTATCGGAACCAGCTGGATTCAGGAAAGGCAAATCATGTGCTGATCAAATTGCAACTCTGTGCATCGTCATTGAACAAAGCATAGAGTGGCAGTTAAACGCCTCTCTAACCCATCAACTTCATCGACTTCGAAAAGGCCTTCGACAGACAGTGTTGACGGAGAAGTAATTTGGAAACTACTTAAACACTACAGCATACAGTGTCCAAGTCTTTATCAACCTCATTCAACAGCTATATGACAGTGTCACGTGTCAGGTGATCTACAACGGAAATCTCAGCGAGGCGTTCGAAGTGCATACAGGAGTAAGACAAGGCTGTCTATTATAACCGATGATATTCTTAATTGTGGTGGGCTGGATTATGTGTCAGACTGTGCATGGGAGCTGGGAGACAGGAATACGCCGGACGACAGATAAGAAGACTCTAAAAGATCTGGATATCTCATATTATATGTATCTAATGCCACACAAACTAAAAGACCCACAGGCGAAACACAACAAACTGGCTGAAGAGGCAAAAAGCGAAGACAAGACTTCAGGTGAACATAGAGAAGACAGAGGTGATGAGGATAGCCATCCACCGACAGCAATCAGCATCAACCACCATCAACGGGAGAGATTTTAATGAAGTTAACTCCTTCAATTATCCGAGAAGCATCGTTTCAATTATAGGCGGAATGGATGAAGATGTCAAAGTCAGAATTGGAAAGGCAAGATACGCCTTCGTCAACCTGAAACCAGTTTGGAAATCTTCTACACTCAGCATAAGGAACAGGGTTCGGATTTTCAACACCAATGTCAAGTCGATCCTTCTACACGGGTCAGAAACTTGGCGTGTAACAAAAAGTATTTCCAACAGGTTGCAGACCTTCATCAACGGCTGCCATCGCTGGCTCCATATTGAAGATCAAATGACCGGCCATTTTTTATCTATTTTTTATCTGGTTCCAAAAACCATCATATAAGCTTTTATCTCCTTATCTGCACCTTCGGAAGGCTAGCTCATCGTTTCCCATTTGGGTTTCACTTGAAGGCATTTCTGGTGCGTAATGTCACTCAGCGTTCTCCTCAGCGTATGTCCAATGTGTCCACCTCCATTTTCCACGACATATCTGTTGGTTGGTCTTTGGTTGGCTCGTTGCCGAAGTTTTTTTTGTTACTAATCGTTTCTGCCTGGCCACCTGATCTTGAATCTCGAGGCAATGAAGGTATGTGTTGATAAAAGTTTTCACTAGTCTGTTGGAAATGCTTTCAGTGACGTGCGCACCAAGTTTCTGAACCATATTGTGGCGTTGAATTGACTTTACTGATGAAGATCTGGACCCTGAGTGCAGTAGATTCCCTTAGTGATTTTAGGGTAATGTAGGTCTATCTTACTTTTCCGCTCCTGGTTAATTTTGTAATCCTCATTCGTGCCGTCGCCTGTAGTTGAAATGACAATGCCTAAGTAAAAAAATAGAATAACTTCCTTTGAGTTTTTCCCATTGGTGATTGATGGTTGCTGTATAATTCTTCATCAACTCTGTCTTCTTTAATATATGTGTAAAACTTCGGCACTCCGGTAGTAAGTGATTCCATATTAGTTTGTTTATTAGATATATCACACAGTGAAACAGTATTATTTACTGGATGACACAGTTTTGGACACAATTTATTGCTAGGATACAATTGGCGGATGGTGACTAGCACTGGAATCCAGGATGCGCATTTCGTCCTATTTGGGACTCGTCATCTGGATGTAACTGCATTTCTCAGTGAGTGATGATGTTCCCACGGAGCATCTGCACAATAAGCCAACATATCAACCTGAGACCGAGCACTTCGGTCCAATCAATCGACGGGAAAATCAAGAATTCAATTCAATAATTAATATGACCCGTTGCACAAGAGGTGGCTCTCGTGGCCTAATTGGTCTAGTGGATAACGCTTCGGCGTTCGAAACTATGGGTACTGGGTTCGAGCCTCGGTGGAACATCATCACTCACCGAGAAATGCAGTTACATCCAGATGACGAGTCCCAAATAGGACGAAATACGCATCCTGGATTCCAGTGCTAGTCACCATCCACCAATTGTATCCTAACTAAATGCACAGACACCGTCGAAGCATCTGCACAAGAAACCGACATGTCAACCTGACACCGAGCACTTCGGTCCAATCAATCGACGGGAAAATCAAAAAATCCAATTCAACAATTTATTGTTCATAATCATTTCATCAGTTATAATCACACGACTTTGAAACTTGAGTCTTATAGTTTTCTTTTTCTCGTCTCCTATTTGTCGTCTTTGGGGTAGTAGAATTTTCCAGATGTCCATGTTGGACAGGTGATGAATCATTCCTATTACGCGTGTTTGCAGTTGATTCGATAAATAAAGCTTCCGTTATCAGTCTCTCCCTCCACCCTGTTCCTTTCGATTTTAAAGCCTTCATCTTATCCCATCCTATTGTATGGTTGTGGGTAATTGCATGTAGTGAGTGGTATAGCTGAACTATTCTCCAGATTTCTTATTTAATTCTTCTTTATTTTCACTTGAATTCCTGCCTTCACTGTTAATCTCTTATGCCAACTTGTTAGTTTTTGTGTGTATATCTTCGAATTTGTGTAGTGTTTAACGTAAATCATAGGCAAAATCCAAATGTTCTAGAGTATTTTGTGTGTGCCGTCTCTTCCCACGGTTTGTTGCATAGTTAGCAGTGCTGTCTGTCAATGCCATCGGCAATTCTCCCTACAGCCTCCTCCATTTGGTAGACGTCACTACTCGCCAGAATAATTTTACACGATTTAGTTTGAAACCAAACCAAAAATCTTTTCAAAATAATAATAACCAATTTGTTCTTATCTTTGCACTCTTCCCACCTAGGTATTACATATCTCTAATCGATAAAATGATATTGGATATTCAAAGTGATAAGTCAAGTGTTGGACAAAGTGCCTTCAACATCATCAAGACATTACTTCTCGATGCTAGTGAACAGAAACGTAAAGTTACAATTGGTTTATCCGGTGGAAGTATGCCCCAATTGCTTGCACCGTTCATATGCTCACTTTCAACGTCTATCCCTACGATTAATTGGAGTTTAGTGCACTTCTTCTATTGTGATGAACGATTAGTCCCCCTGGACAGTGTAGATTCAAATCATCATAGTTATCAGGAGCTGATCTATTCAAAAATTAATATCCCTCAATCAAATATACATACTGTGAATACATCGTTATCATGTAGGTATCTCTTCATGTTCTAGTCGTTAATAAACTTCACTTTTAGTAGAAGAGGCTGCTACCGATTATCAAAAACAAATTTTGGCATTCTTTGATTCTGAGAATGGTTATCCTCGCTTTGATTTACTCCTACTTGGTATGGGTCCTGATGGACATACATGTTCATTATTTCCTAATCATAAACTACTTTATGTAAGTAAATTAATGCTAAGCTTTACTGTTATTTCCTTCTCTTGCTGCCTATACATCTCACCAGCCACAGTAACATGGGAAATCATTGGGGTTTAATAGATATCTGAGAAATTATACAAAGAGTGAATGCATTTGTGCCATTGAGAACAAACATTTCGAGCTAATGGTCTTAACATTCTGGGTATCCTAACTACATATCTTACATACCCCTGTGTCGTTAACTCAGACTAACAATCAAAGGCACGATGGATTGATACCAGATCTTGATATGACTACCACTTACTCTTTTCCAACTTGATTCTATGTCATTTAACATTACTCAATTAGGAAGGCATGATAACCTTAGCCATCTCAGTCGGTGCATAGCTTCACAACTTCATTGATAGACTTTTCCTCCTTACGTAACACTTTACCTTAACATCAATATTATACCACCACTTATCACACAGGACAGAATACAAACATTTACTATCAAAGAAAGAGAGAGAGAGAGAGCTAACCTCTTCAATTCTTCTACTTCCAGCGACCATGTGGAAATCGTTGAAATATCTGACCCTATCAATCGACATGTGTGCTGGGTACAACAGCAGTTTGCTCCATCTTTTCTTGTGGTTATGAGACGTAGGCGTTGAAAGTCTGGGGGGGGATTTAAAGAGCCTAGCTGTCTGTGACCACATTTCTTTGCTTTCTGTCTCTTCTGTGTTAGGTGGTTCAGTGTAATGGGTTATGTTGAGGTAGTTAGGCTTAGAGTGTTGTGTAAGGTAAGAAGGCACTTTATGAGGTTGGGAAGCTACATTGACTGAGGTAACAATGTCAGCAGACACAGAATTGAATTTGGAAAGAGTTAGGTAGGAGTGGTCAAGTCAAAACAACTTAGGACCAGTTCATAAAATCTTTGACTGTAAGTTTTTACCATCCTCTTAGAGAGGTGTGGATTATCTGGCTGACCGGGGTCATCAAGACGTTGAGGAGCAGGCGAATACTAGTAGTATGGCTTAAAATGTTTTCAGTGGAGGAGATGCATTCACTCCCTGTTAACTTCAGGATCCATTAAATTCTCATTGTTCTTTACGGTACTTATTGTTTCGTACATTTTCTGTTCAAGTTGTCACACACTGCATATAGCAAAAAAAGGTAGACAAAAGAAAGAGAAAAAGAGATTTAAAACTGTAATGAACAAAAATTTACGACCGAAAGGAAGAATAGTGACACAGAATAACATGAGGAATATGATGAATCTAGGAAATTGTCTGTAGAGTGAATGCATCTGTGATATTGAGAATGATATTGGCGTGTGAAGCTCACTGGAGCTCACCGGCAGACGTATGGACAAAGGGCTTGTTGGATGTCCTGGATGTCTGGCCCCATTCAAAAAGGCGTATGAACCGAACTCCGGTCATCGGCTGCCAATGGATAGTGGACTCCTTACTCCACTCCTACTGCCTTGTAGGTCACACTTGGTTGTGTAAAGGCTAGAGCTGCACTCTCAAACAAAAGGCCGAGCGATTCTGGGGACATCACTCGTACCAAATTCCCATGAAACTTCATGAACTCTCTTACAAATTGCCGCGCCTGGGCAGCGATGATTCGAGACGTTCATGAAGCCGGCTGATCCTCCCGTAGGAGATAGCCGAAGTAAAGTAAGTAAGTATATTGAGCCATATCACTGATGGCCTCAAACCATTGTTGATTCTTAGCATGTCGAGGACCCCAATCGCTTAGGCAGTCTGCACCTCCCTACGTGACTGGCTCAAGCCAACAGTCAAAGACTTCATGGACTGATGACTTTCCCTACGTAATTTCTTTCCAGTCTAATCCTATATCAACTAATATCGCTCGATAAGGAAGGTAATGCTAGCCACGTCAAGTCTTAATGCCACTCACCTGATGAGTTGTGAATAGTGACAAAACGTCCACTGTAGATTGTAATACTAGTTAGCTAGCTAGTCATCCTCCAGCCAACCAGCAAATAATTTACCTCAACTATTTTCATTGACTTACATGATGTTATCTCCTCCACTCTCGTCCAAATTGGAGTTCTAAGTCATGTGTTAAGGCACTCAACTTCAAACTATTGTCTGTGTCACACGTTCGAACCCCCAGGGTTTGGACAGTCTCCGGACGGTACAACAACAGACGTGTCTCATCCCTAACTACATGAGTGGGACTTGGTCATAGAAAATGAAAGAGGTGAAAAGGCTGGCTGTCTTTTAACATAGGTGCCTGCGTTGTGTCTCTCGTGTTAGGTGGTATAATAGGGTGGGCAATTTTGAGGTCAGGCATTGAGTGCTAGATAAGGAGGGGAAGTCAGTCGTCGAGGTTATAAAGTGTTTCGCATCTCTAGCCACATCGCCTTCTTTGACGGACAACGACGCTGTCATGGAGATGATCATGTCGGAAAAGTGATGGTCAAATCAAAACATGGCTTCATTAATCAATGAAATCCATAACAGTTTAAGGCACATAAGGTGGTGTAGACTTCCTGTTTGGGGTCCTCGAAACAGTGAGAACCAATGGCTGGAGACAATTGGTGGGCGACATGGCTCAAAATCACTCTCAGTGGCGCAGATGGATTTACTCTTTGTGATTTGTCATATGATGCGTCGGTGGTACGGCAATAAAACGCTTGCCGACCATGGATGTTGTCTGGGCTTCGACCCCCGGCCGATGCACTCCCACCTCGCTAAGCCGGTGGTAAGATCGGTAAAGAGGGAAAGTTGGAGATGAGACTAGCAATCCCATCCCGTAAAAATAAACACCACTGCTACTGAAACCTCAAAGCTCCTATGTTCTATTAGGAACACAAAGAAATAAAAAAAAAATTGTCACATCGAATAAACCTCTATTGATCTTCGATATTACTCTTTTTTTCCCCCACACTTCTGTTTTTTATCTGTCTTCTCTTACCTTCTGTGGTATATGGAGTGTGGCAACTTGAACTGCTGCACATCTGTTCAAAGTTTTACTTTGAAACCAGTCAGTCATTTTTTATGTCTTCTACATTTTTCTTCCCTTAATCTAGTATGAAGACTTCGTCGTAGCGCCGATATCGGATAGTCCTAAACCACCGCCTCAAAGAGTCACTTTGACTATTCCTGTTATTAATAAGGCCGAAAAGGTGGTATTTATGGTCACAGGATCAGATAAAGCTCAAGCAATAAAGGTGAGACTATGCTTTATAAAATATATGGATTTATTTTTATATTCATAGTTCAGTAAGATTTTTGGTTATAAACCCTTGTCAGTTAAGGGGTATCTGTCATTGAAAACCAAACAGGACACGTTGATGAACATCTGTTTCATCTTCCTTTCAGTTTGAGACTCCTCTTCAACAGTGTGCATCTTAAATATCCCTCCGAAAAGAGATCGGAACTAGGATCTTAATTCTCCAAACTGTTTATGAACAGCTGTCCTCAAAATCTGAATATTTATGATGGTATATACTACTGATTGTTTGATGTAAGTTACTTAGGTACCAGCCAGCTCGTTTGTCAATAAGCTCATCATTTAGCCAAACTGTCGTCCAGTGCTTAGGTAACTTCAAACTGTCTAGCAGGCACTACTGATTAACGCAAGTGGGTGGTATCCAACATCTCAATCGAGTCAATCAATCAGTAGTTTATAGCTTTGTGGATTCATACTTCTTTTGTTGATCACCATTTATAATGGTATTAAGCAAATTACATGTTATGTGATATCGTGTCGCACTCGAACCGATGCCCAACCCGTTGATTTTCACTCCGATTCCACTTGAGCGTCTTTTAGGCGTGTGTTATCACTCAACGGTCTGCTCCCAGCGTATTTTAAACCCATTTCCACTTCCTTCTGGATATTTCTTGGGCGATAGCTTAATTGTTGCTTCGTTGTTAGAATTCTTTGTTGCTCATTTTTTACAGCTGGCTATGTGATATTCAGTATGCAGGGAATACGTCTGTTGATGTAAGTCTTAGGTAGCCTGTTGGAAATGTATTTTTGAGGTCTCTGAAGCATTGAGTGACTTGACATTAGTGTCGAAAATTCGAATCTTGTTCCTTATGCTGAGTTCAGTAAGTTCCCACAGTGGTTTCAAGGTAATGAAAGGATCTGTCTTGCTTTTCCGATCCGATTCTGACTGGCTTTGACATCGTCTTCTATGCCACTCTCTGTAGTAGAAACTATGCTGCCTAAATAGTTACTAGTGCTTGTTCTTGTTGCTGGTTGATTGGTTGGTTGGTTATCTTCATCACATCTATCTTCCTTAGTTTTACATGGAGTCTTGTCTCCAATGCCTATGTCTTCTGCCTACTTTTTGGTTTCCGCCTCTAGGTCTTCGAGTTTTTGCGATATTAGACGTAAATCACCCACGCAAAACCCAAATCTTCGAGAGCCTTCCTGTCTTCCCGACTTGTTCCTGTCCTCTCTCTCTATCCTCACCGACAGTCTGTCGCATGATCCAGTTCACCAATACAATCATGATCATTATCGGTGATTATAGACACTTGTTTTACTCTTGTCTTGATTATTTGAAAAGCTTCTGTGAAGCTCTTCGTTGTACGGCTTTATTATCATACAGCTGTGGTTGAATGAGGTCCGTTAAGGTTTTTCTGTTACTACACTGCATAGTATCGAAGCAGTTCCCAAATTTTACCTGAAAATTACTCAATAACAATAATTGTGCGTCGGTGGCACAGTGGCTAGGACTCTCGCCGACCATGCACATGGTCCACGGTTCGATCCCCTACCGACGCACACTTGATATCTATGGTTGGCCTGCAAAATTTGGGCTACCGATATCCATGCTGAAAATTCCATACTTGTACCAAAAGTATAGTGTGGAATCAAGCTGTAATCAAAAATAAATTATATCAAAAATTAAAAATATGGTTTCAGCGAAAAAAAATTTGTCGTTTCGACGAAGTCACCATTAACTAGGCTGTAAATTTGTGTATGTATAGCAAAGTGATGGGGAAGTTCAAGAATCGTTTCTGGTCGAAGACCAAACTATAACGAATTATAACAAGATTACAAACAAGGATTAAAAGCTTAATGGTTACAATGACAGCAAAAATAAATAGGAAGTTTGGATAAAAGACGTTATCAGATAATAATTATTATTGAGAAAATTGACTGTCTATGATAGCCATTGGTGCAAAGACAAAGCTGGTTGGACGTACTTCTTTTGAATACATAGTGGTGATTTGAATTTTCAAGTCACTGCTAATGATTCCCACCATGTGCCAATGCATTGATCTCACTTCCTTCATGGTTTGATCCCATCATGTACAGCACTTGAATGGATTTTTCAAATAGAGCTGAGTGTTCTAAGTTCATAAGGTGTCTTGTTGCTGAGCTATAAACACCTACGTTCTTCCTTTGACAGTCAGGATGGATAATGTTTCCGAATACCTTTTATTATGAGAAGCATGGTATGGTTAATGACCTCAGCTCCTCAAGAGCAATTGGGTTGGTATATGCATGCTGACATACTCCAATGCCACAATTTGTCTGTCACTCACTGGGTGAATAATCTTCTGGAAGAAACTCCTACTCGTAGGCTGGCAGCGAAGTATGCTCGTTGGTTTGTTGAGAGATTTTCAAAGTCTTTTATCCGAGAATTTCTGCTTCAGCATCACTTTCACATTCAAAATTCAGCAGGCTTTTTGTGTAGGTGAATTTTCTCAGCAAGTTATTAGCATTTCTTCGCAGACAAACATCACGAAAATGAAACGTCGAGTCAGATTCAACTTCCATTGTTACTAGTACTATTATTATTATTTCCCTTTTAGGCTGTACATCGATCAAGTCAACCAGGTCCATCTATGCCGTGTTCACTGATTCATCCAGTTCAAGGGGAATTGATATGGATTTTAGATAAAGCGGCTGCCAGTGAATTAGACACATGAAATCAGTAATAATAATAACTATTATTTTTACATATATTTTCTTCACCTTACATTTCCCTTTTCCCACTTTGTGTAATATAATAATTCTGGTTGTGTATTTGTGTGCAGTGTTGCACGTAAATTTTTCTGCTATCTTCTATTTTGTCGATTGATTATGTAATCATCCCTTAGGTATCTTGGATTTGATCTTTCCTACTATACATACGTATGCTTTGTTTCACGTATGAAATAAATTGGTTAATTTATTGAACTGATTTGTGATATTCGATTGTCGATCAAGGTATATACGTAATGAGAAGCAGCATTTCTCTCTGTCTTCCTTTTTCCCCGGAGGGAGAAACAATGGGTGTGACATAACTGCCAGTGAATTTGGAAAAATATGAGGAAACACTGGCTAGCTAGGTGTTTTTGGTCAACCACAGTAGATGTTTGCGTTCTCACAGATAAGAAACCGTTAGACAAGCGCTTCGTCCTTAGCCGGGACTCTTCGTCGGCACGCACCTATGACCACCTACACGGCCAGGGATCGCAACACGCAGGACCTTCAGATAATAAGGCGAGCCCCTTGACCATTTAGCCTGTGTCTAAACTCTAACTTCTGCCAGTTTTTGGTGTTTATAGCCCTAGTCTCACATCGGACGACTGACTTGATAGACCACATACTGGTTGTGACTGATCAATAGAGCTTCAGGCAGCTTCATCCTGTAGTCAGTCATTAGAGCACTAGATTAATTTTTAGTTGTTGGTTGCCTTCTAGGGATTTGACTGAATTCAAGTATGGTCATGAGGTGACAACTGAAGGGTCTCAAATTAGGAGGATGAAACGTCTATCCAATACTCTCTGTTGGTCAGTGTTTACGTGATCTGTGAACGGAATACATTTGACCCTAACGTAGTTTAAAGGTCACATTAATGGATTTTTATTAGTGCGTGCTATGCAGTTAGTATGTAGTTTTTTTTATATTGAATTTGTCTGTTCAAGTGTGTAGTGAGAAGCTCTCTTTTAATATTTATGACTTACTCACGTGCTGTTGTCGAACCGATATATGTGATGAGGTGTGAAGGATAAACTGTCGTTTATGTCCACCTGTATGTACATCTACTCTTCCACATGGCCCCTGTGGAGCTGATTACATTGTAGTCATTGTAAGCATTGGTTTCCAGAAACGCTTAGCTGTAAACACTATCCGGTTTATTCGATGAATAAAGAAAGCTAAAATAAGACGACGGATCAAATTTTCAGTTTACAAATTAGTCCGTGGTTTGCAATTTACACAATCCAAATGTGAAATTTCATCCTTTGAACAAAGAAATTACGCATATCACGATGTGCCGTCTACTTGACTCCAAATGACTGAAATGACCATCCGGTGACTAGGTCACTTCAGTCCGGCTTACGGCTAGCAAGCACTACTGGTTGATGTGAGTGGTATACAATTACTTGTGTCATTCAATCAGTAGTATATGGGGTCATTTGTAGAATGACGAAGTCTTCTTATTGGAGCAGGTCATCCAGTCGTACATGATTTATCCTCTGAAGTTATCTACAAGCCTGGATTCAGTCAATCTGAAAGTCTGTTTTCTCCACTAGTATATGTATAACTGCGGCTGTAGCCATATATGAAGCTATGTGTTCAAAAACCAATCTGTAGTTTAATGGAAACTCATCGGTAGGAATACTGAGAAGCCGCGTGTCGCACTCACTGAAGAAAGCCCTCGATTCTGCACTTCAGCCAACTTTATACGCAAAATAACTGTTCGCACGAAATTGGAAGATAAGTTTCTACTATTGGCCTCATCAAAATCTCTATCAATTCACAAGCTCCACCTGTGAAGGAGCTAGGTATGTCGGCCGTACTCAGAGTTTGTTATCCAAACCTGTTATCTAACACTTAACCACTGCCATTGTTTTGCGAGGGGGAGAAAAGAACCGCCCGCCAAAGCTTTATCCTGGAACATCTGGTTCAATCTGGACGCCAACCCAATCCAACACCCAACTTCAAAGTCATCTACAAATTACGCGGGAACTTAACTGAAGGCGTACAAATCAAACTCCTTCAGAATGAAGAAGAAGCAATGGCAATTCATCACATGTTAAGTCCAGAACTCTGCATGCAGAGAAAGTTTGTTCAGGGTCCCTAAATGTACAATGGAATTAATCTGTCTTTTTTTAAAATTGTATTAGTTTCTTCCCTTTCCCCCTAATAAAATTCTACCCCTTATTATCTCTGTTGCTAACCTAACTCTTGTTCCATTTTAGTTAGATTCTACTTAATCATGTCAACTATATTAGGTCGCCCAATCAACCAGATTAACGTTTTTAAATTACGTAATTTGCCCAAGTATTGGTTTGCAGGGATTTCTACTAGTTACAGGATTTCATTATGAGCTGATATCGGTCAGAGAACCATTGGAAGACCTGGGAGTGCTGGACAGCTGTTTCGTCCTAGTTTGGGGCTCTTCCTCAGTACGCACCCAACTGGGTTCGAACCCAGGATCTTCTGGTTACAACACAAGCTTGTGGACCATTATTAAGCCGTAATTTGTTGTTTGAAGTTTTTAGTTTTGATGACACAACTTTGTAAGTACTCCTTCTGTTGCTAAGAAAGTTTGCTATATATATATATATATATATATATATATAGATAGATAGGAGGTAGGAATAAAAGTGGCTGGCATTCAGACCCAAAAACTCAATTAGAAACAAGCTTTATCAGTTAAAGGATCCCGCTTGTGGAGCCAGTTAAACAAAACAATGTAGTTTATGTAATACCCTGCTGTAATGATTGTCCGGTTAAATACATAGGTCAAACTAGTAGAACAGGAGCAGGTAGACTAGCCGAACATAAAAACCTAGCAAAATCTAGATTAGTTGACCCGAATAAGATAAGAAATCTGGAGAATAGTTCAGCTATACCACTCACTACATGCAATTACCCACAACCATACAATAGGATGGGATAGGATGACAGTTTTAAAATCGAAAGGAACAGGGTGGAGGGAGAGACTGATAACGGAAGCTTTATTTATCGAATCAACTGCAAACACGCGTAATAGGAATGATTCATCACCTGTCCAACATGGACATCTGGAAAATTCTACTACCCCAAAGACGACAAATAGGAGACGAGAAAAAGAAAACTATAAGACTCAAGTTTCAAAGTCGTGTGATTATAACTGATGAAATGATTATGAACAATAAATTGTGTCCAAAACTGTCTCATTCAGTAAATAATACTGTGTCACTGTGTGATATATCTAATAAACAAACTAATATGGAATCACTTACTACCATAGTGGCGAAGTTTTACACATATATTGATCCTAATTTCAGTTTTACAACAATGCTGATGATTGACCTTGTGACCGTTGAAATATGAAATAGTTTTGTTATATATATATATATATATATATATATATATATATATATATATATTACTTATATTGATACTTAGTCACGTTTTGTGTTCGTGTATGCGTTGGACGTGATTTTAGTTGCTCTGTAGAAGTATCCTCTAGTTTAATCTGTTTTCTATATAAGGTCTGGGGGGAGGGTTAGGCTTAGTATACTCGTAATCGATATTTGTTAGGTAGATAGTTGGAAGCAGTTGAACGGTAGGAAGCCCTGTACTCCTGACCAGTCAGGAATGCTTGTTGGCACTCATCAGTCAATCAACAATGCGTACATGTAACCTCGCAGGAGCTGATCTATCTAAAAAAACGGAAGCATCAGGGAGTACTAGACAGATGATTTGTCCTCCTAGTTTGAAAATGACTCACTCTTCATTAGTAGGTAGCCATGACCTTATCTATGAATAGGGACCGGTTCACCCAGGGTTTTCATGCTACAGGGTCAGCCTGCGTTTATCATTCACCGCAATAGCTGACCCATCAGTTCTAACTTCTACGATTTCTCAATAAATAGGGCCACCACAGCCAGCAATAGTCATCATCGAGTAGCTGTCTCCACAATAGCGGTGAATTTGCTTTACGTTTACGGGCTAGGGTTCACAAGTCTACTGCCAAACCTTCCTTCTATTTTGGGCTTACTACTATACCGACTAGGCGAGATTTCGTAGACATCAGCCGACGGCTGTCGAAACCAAACCATCTGAGTGGCGTGGTATAGCATGGCAGCTGGAGAACATTCCAGTACTGAACTCTTGGTGCTTTTAATGATGTCTGGTAACTTGAACTGTTACACCGATATATGTGAGCACAGACTTTTGTGCGAAGCCACACGTTCAAAATTCTCGTAATCAGTTAATGACCGAATAAAAACGGTTAGATTAAACATTAGATTAGTCTGGAAGGTCAGATCAAAGATCTCCGCCTTCATTGCCGTGTCGATTTAGTTAGCTAGGAGATTGGAACTGAGGTACGTTTTCTATCACTTGCCTATGCCTACATAATTGCCTGTCTATAATAATTGCGACAGTTACCTAGTCTGTTTCTACTACTCCGATCCTTTTTCTCCATTATTTGCTTTGGTTGGTTGAGTTGATGGCAGGCATCTTGTGGTGAAGTTCCGTGGATATCCTTTTTTTTGGGATAAAAGTCATAAGATATTTCTCCTCCACTCTCTTCTCAAGGCAGCAGTGTGTTTTGGCTCAGAAAACTAAGCTAAACTAATATCATTCACATCTGAGATACAAATCTTTACCATCGTATTTGAATTTCCTCGTAATACAGCGTTAGTTGTACTCTGATTAGATGATGACTTCATTTATCTTCGTTGTGTCTTATTTGTGACTTATCGATTTGCTTGGACAAATATTTCTTGACCGTTTACAAGCTAATATGAGTAATGCGACTTTTTAAGAGTTAGTTCACAGAGAATTAAAGGTTGTCAGTGGGGTAACTGGTGTGCCACTTAGTCAGCTCGTTACTATTGTATCTAACAGACACCTAAACTCACGTCTAAATTTCAGCACCCTCTTTATTAACAACTCTTCTCTTGCATCTCATCAGGTAGTACAAGAAGTCATTACAAAAGATTATATGCTCGCTTGCACAACCAATTACAAGAACTCAACTATACGTCGCCATTTCATTGTGTTCTATGAAGTTTTTTGACCGATTGGCTTCAAGATTGCTCCTCTTCACATGAACTGCAACATGTTATCCTTGGAGTGAAGTCCAACTCATCGTATTCCATTTGAATTTCACTCAATGATCTCCACAGAGTGTGCCCGATCCCTTTCCATTTTTTCCGCATATTTTATGGTGGATTGATAGTTACCTGGT